AAGCGACTGCTTTTAGGCTTGAACTCGCAACAATGGCACACTGGATAGGCACTGCATCACACAATGCTAAAGAGTTCAACCAGTGAGACCAATGTCTATAAAATCTGAAAATTACCAGACTATTTTGTCTCCAAAACAAATTCGAAGCAAGTAAAACTGAATCAGAAGCTTATGAACTACAACCACTTTTGCATCTCCTCGAGTTATATTCCTTCCAATTCTTAAGGACAAATAAATTACAGATAAGACTTTATTCAATTCTTGTCGAACATTTGATTTTTGATAATTGATATTAGTCTGACTATGGTAACAAGGCCAGGAGAACAAAAGGGGGTAGTCTAGAATTCAAGCACCATGGTAACTGAAGACTCTGCTATGTAATCGACTTGCATGAATGAAAAAATCTGAAATAAAGAGTTAAGACTGAAACTAAGTGACACATACCTACTCCAAACCCATGCAACTCTGGAATGTCGACTATCCTTGAACATAGAAGCAAGACCCTGACAATTTGATGAGCTCCTATCGTAAGCTAATTGAACTGTGATACAGCTCATCCTCTTCTCTTTTCCTTAATGATGGCCTAATGTAGACACTGGACAATTCAAAATAAATTAACATGGATGCTGCAATTTATAGGAGTCTGTCAACCATCTCAGAAATGTCTAATGCCAGCAATGAATAATCAAGAAAACTTGGATGCATATACATATATATATATATATATATATATATATATATTTGATGCAGATAATCAGGATTATCCTATATGTATGCATGGATTAATAAATATATACAGTGTTACTCTTATTATGAATGCAGTTACTCCTACGTAGGCTATTCTTTATATTATCAAGTAATAGAGACTCACAATCACTTCTTGCACATAACTGTTCAGAACCTTTAATTTCTGTCTCCACTGTTTTGCAGATTACTTCGTCAATTTTCTTAAGCAATTCACGAGCTATCTTCAACTTGCCAGCCTTTTCAAATGCATGTTCAAAAGTTTCCCTAATGTAGATTGGAGGGCAGACACACTTTTCAGGCATAATCCAGGGATCCTCTTTGGTAGGTGTACCACATCCAACGGATCACAGCCTTTACAAGTGTGGAGACCCACACGTGTGTGAGCTGGGATCCATTGCTGTACGGCTAAGGATTCAAGCTCAATTTGATGTCTCTAAGTTGGGATTGTCCAGACAATGCATACTTTACAAGTATAAGTTAAAATCAGTCGCCATTTCCTTCTTGTCGCCAGTGAAAGAAGTTATATTATTCTCTCTGAATGAAGCTACAATGGAGAGTTGCATGGCTTTTTTTCAAAGTGTTAAAGGTCTAAGGTGTTAAAGCTACAATGGAGAGAAAAAATAAGAAAAAAGAATGAAATTCCAAAATTCATCAATTAGGAAACCTACAAGTTCACATCCAAATTGAGGATGATTTTAAGTGAACCAACTCACAAAGGATTGAAGAAATTTCAGATGGAATGAAAATCAGTCATAACATGAGAAAAATTAGGTTAGAAACAAAATCTTGTACAAATTAGTCATGAAAACAGTTTTGTGAGCCAAAAATCAAAGGCCAAATGGAAAGGTCTGATTGGATCTTTGTCAAAGTCTGACAAGAAACTAATGAAATAAAACCATGTAAAAGAGTAGATGCATTGAAAACCCACAAAGGGTCATTTACTTCCCTCTCACAAAACCCACAAAATGATAGGAAGCAACCTGTGTTAAGTCATCCTTGATTAAACCAAGCCAAGTGGAACAAACTAAAAGCTAAAAATACAAGCACATATGCCTTCAACAATGGTATCTAAAAGTCTTTAGAAACACAAATTAAGCACTGCTCACAAGACATCATTCAGAATTTAATATTGGCTTCAAAAAGTCTGAGGTTTATACCTTAATGAATTAGATAAGAATGCACTCCCATTCACCTATAACATGTCAGAATTGAATGAATACAACGCTCAAAAAATTGTGAAGGTGCATGGCATGGCATCCAGTGGCATCTACCTAACAAAAACATTAATTTACAATCAAAATTACAAGCAGGAAGATAAAAAATCCAAACAAAATTATTAAAATTTCAAGAAACTCAAAAACATTTAGTTTGTAAAAAATGAACTAAATATTGACAAATGTTGTTTTCTAATCCAATGATCAGGAACCATGATCTGGACCAAGTCAAGTCCAGTAGAAATTTATGAATTTATCACCAATAATAGATAATCAGACATATTATTGACAATTCACCGAACCGGGAAAAAAAAGCTCAAATTTCCTCATTCGAAACTATCAGGAAAATACATCTAAGAGGCACACACACAGAAAACAAACATTTCACGAGTACTGTACAAAAGCAATGAACAATGAACAAAAGGAAGAACTAGTAACTACACATACAAGATCATCATCTTAAGACAAAAGACTTTCAGAAAAAGCCTTAATGTGTGCCTCCATCTCTAAATCAAAGAAATCAGTTTCGAAATCAGAGTCGCCAAAAAATGACTCAATCTGCTGAAGGTCTTGGTCTTGCACTGTATCACAAGAGTTCATTGTACTGATATCATCATCATGTGGTGGCAGCTGCATCTGAATATCGGAAGATGTTGCAGTTGCATTAAAATTGTCAAAAAATGAGTCTATTTGCTGCAGGCCTTCTATTGTACCACAAGAGTTGATGTTGGGCAGATCAAAGTGTTTGGCAGTCTCATCATAATATGCTGGGAGAGGTTGAAAATCGGAAGACGCAAGCAGAGTCTTTTGTGGAGGAGTACTTGCAGAGGCCTCATCATGATCATATCGCATCTTCTTCTTCTTCCGACTAGGGTTTTCTTCTTTTGATACCTCACGAACATGCTTTGGTGCTCTCCTCAGAAATTTTGAATCATCCCTTTTTATCTTGCAAACGACATAATCTTGATCACTACCATCTTCTAGCCCATCCAAACTCACACCGCCCAGCGAATACTCATGCATGGTCCAATGACCTCTTGGCATGGTTGACCACTCATCTTTCTTGATATTTGCTTCAAAAGCCAACATTTTCTTAGATCCAATAAGCTGTTTATGTCTGTTATAAATTTCCTCGGGCTTGTTTTGGCCATCCCAAGTCCCACACCCAGCTCTCCTTACAACTCTCTTCTTATCGCCAATTTTCTTCAACTTAGTGAAGACGTAGATAACGAATTGAAAATTATTCTTGCTAATAGTATGCCATGGATCTTCCTTTTTTAATATGTCCCAGGGAGCTTTGCCGTAAAGATCAACGTCCAATATTACACCCTCAGGCATTCTCTCACCCTTCACTTTTCTGCTAAGGTAATGGAGGATTTCAACTTCTGTGGGGTCGAAGTGAAATCCTAGTGGAACGAAAAATATCTCGTGATCGGAAACAGATGAATTCATTGAGAAAAAATGGGACACCTTCCAATTACAGAAGAAGAAGGAGAATGATAGAGACGGTAGTTGCAGTGACGTAAAAAAGGTTGAATGAGAAAAAGAGGGCTCACAGAATTACGGAATCAAATACAGAGGAGCGATACAAAAGAATAAGAAGAACACCACCACCGACGTGAGTTTTGCGCAGTGAATTGATTGAGGCGGTTTGCAATATTGGTAAGGTTTCCTCTGTAAGACTTGCAAGAAAAGAAAGACAAGTTTTGCGCAGTGAAATAGGTTTCCAATTGCGCAGTGAAGACAGGTTTCCAATTGCGCAGTGAAATAGGTTTCCAATTGCGCAGTGAAGGCAGGTTTCCAATTGCGCAGTGAAGGCAGGTTTCCAAATAGGGTTCCAATTGCTCAGTGAAAACCGACTAGACTTGCAAGAAAAGAAAGACTCGGTCTTCAATATATATAGCCAAATTTCTTCAATGCTTACAATACAGAAACAGAAGAAGAAGAAGCCGCCGACCCACCAGAGTGATTGATGCGGAGGTAGGGTTTCCTGACTTGCGAGTCAAGGAAGACAAGAGGTTTATATTGGGCCTGGTTTGGAGAGAGGGTTTAATAAAACAGAGAGAGGGTTTAATAAAACAGATTCATAAAGCAGAGAGATGATTTAATAAAACAGAGAGAGGATACTCTAGTCACTGCTTAAAACAGCGAGAAAAATGTCCATTTATAGTCTCATGCCCAAATCCAAGTTCTTATAATTTTTAAAATAGAATCTAATATTAATCTAAATTTGTTAATTAATAATATACACATCCTTAAATTGTTAAATTTAGGGATTTAAAATCTAATTAAATTGTTAAATTTAGGGATTTAAAATCTAATTATCCATACAATTTGCTTTAACTTGAAAATAAATATATATTCCTATATATGACCTCTCCTTATTTAATTATTAGATTAAAAATTTTATTAAATGACTAATTTGATTTTTTAAATATCTCAAAAAATTGTATTTTCCGTGATCGTCAATGGTGAGGTGAAACTAGAGGTCTCGTAAATCCATCTAGAAGTCTCATAAATCCTTTCTCTGATACTAATCCTTTGTATCTATTACAGATAATAACAGAAATCATTTCATTCCGTAGAAAATCTAAATGCCATTCATTTTTTAAACAACTCCCCACAAATGCTTCACTGGATCCATTAAACATATGATCTGCATTGACCATTTAATATGTCATTTTGCACTACCTTCTTCTGCATACACACAAAGCTCATAAACATATAGCAGAAGCCAACAGGGAATGGTTATTTATGTGCAAGGGATCCCATGAGAAAATATCTTTCTCATACATTCAACGAAGTTACATCACTACCTAAAAAAGGGAGAAACCAGAAAAAAGAAAAAAAGAAACAAATGAGTAGAACTTGGACATTGCCAGCCCCATCTTCAATCTGTTGAATCTGTGGAACACTTCATTTTCCATGTCCCCCCAATCTATGCAGCAGTGGCTAAAAAACCTCTGATCATAAATATATATACCTGCCCTCAGGGTACAGAAGTCCTTATTTCCAGTGATTACAAGTACAAAAGGACCATTTTAGACAAAAGACTAGATTTATGTAAAAGAAAGTTTTACCCTGAAAGTTGAAACAAAGGAAATATTTACAATCTGTGTTCAGTTAATTTGGGACAATTAATCATCTTAAAAATCAAAATTACAAAAACCCAAGGTGCCTTGTAATGTTGATCTGATTGATTCAGTAGCAGCCTTGCTTTGAACAGTAACAGCACGAATACATACAAACTTGCACTTTGCCAGCCTCATCTTCAATCTGTTGGCCCTCTGCAGGAAGAGGGGTTGAGGGGATCCAGACCTGGTTTACTGGAAAGCTGAATCCGACAGAATAAACCTGCTTGCACCATCAATATAGCAGTCATCCATGCCAGTGGCAACTGATCGGACTTTGTCTTCTCATCACCATATTACTTTTTCTCAGCCATGAGTTCCCGAATTATGTAGTTCAGCAAACTCGTCCCTCTCCAAATGATCACGTCTCTATGCCAACATTACAGAACTGTCAAGCTAATTGTATAATGTAGTCAAATAGCACTGCATAAAGAAGAGGACAAAGTGTTCATTATATGTGAAAATCTTTGGCAAGTACAAGGAAGAAAAAGGAAAAACTTACAGAGAATGATTGGACCATATGGTAGACAATGTTAGCATCCAACCTCTCTCGTATGGCCCTATTATCCCTTGGCAAAGCCAGACCCTGTTCAATAGGTGAGACACAATTGACGGTGTCTTTAAAGCAGAATCATCCACCGTGAGTCCGTGACCATGCACTTAGGAAGGATGAACCTTGGTGCCAAGGTTTAGCAGAGACCTGTTATCCAGATATTGTCACAACCTGGATTTTTTCCTTCTTCTCAAGTAACTAGAATTTTTCCCAAATATGAAGAATATTTGGGAGTAGTCGGGGAGTTTCATAAATATGATAAATAAATAAAAGTTCAGTTAATTCAATGGAAAAATCAGAGTAACTTAAAATTTCCAACAGCAATCATGGTATGGGAAATTGTAAAAACAGGAGATAATAATACCTTCAATTCCACTATATCAATTCCAAAATAAAGAAAAATTGAAACTTCCAGCATCAATACTAGGTATATAAACTATATGCTAAAAAATTATTTTCGCTTGTTGAAAAGATCACAAAACTTAAATCTTTTTTCCCCTAGATCTCAACAACAGGAATGCTGCAAAATAATCAAACTCCAGGAAAGGAATAACCTTACCATGGAAATTGGCCATTATGATGAATCATTTCAATTTTTAGATTTGACATATTAACTAGGTTGAATGCTTCTACAGAAACCCAAAGGACAACAAGAGGAAAATGAGATGCACAAACACCCACATGTGAGCGCGCACAATTTCTCTCTTTAAGTTAAAATATTCTTCCAACAAAAATAAGAGTTGCTTTATCCAAAAAGCCTTGCTGCAGAGCATGTTCAAAGTCCATTCATTATGGAGACTGTACTTGAATATTCTGAATACCTTCAAGCACTGCTGCACCCATGTGGGGCCCAAATACTTCTGATACGTAATGCCAGAAATGAAAATCTAAATTATTGTAACATATCAAAAAATGAAAACTGTGAAGTCCAAATGGTCATTCCATGGATAAGAATAGCTTGTTTTCCCAAAGCTCCTTATGATTATTGGTCCATTCAGATAAATCCTTCATGGACTCGAGGTTACATCTTCCCAGTTCTTCAACTAAAATGCTTAATTTTATGAGAAAAACCAGATCTGAGATACAATCAAAATCAAATACAGTACATCTAAAATAACTCTCTTCTCCTAGTTCTCTATCCTCCATCAAAACAAGTTGTTTCCTGCTTCCTCATGACGCTTAAGACAATCATCACAAACTCGTTTTGTAAAAGATGATTCCCAAATTCTATTAATATTTGGTGGGAAAGGATTAGGTTACCAGGGAATACCTTTTCCATTAGTTGTTTGACGTTGCAACGGAGATTTGAGTTCTTGGATCACCTTTCACGTTTATGTAGCAGGTAATCCTTAGCTTTTACCACCAGCAGCTAATCCTACACATATCATTTAGATATCTCACTGAAAGTTCAATTCGAGTAGAAGATTATACGAAATGGATGCTCAAACTTGGTGTGCAGAGTAGGAATCATTTCAATTGAACTCAAAATGCATAATTGCATATATAACATGCCCATGGATGATATAATATTTAATGAGGTGCAGCATCAAATTGAATGAATGATATTGTACTACAAATATGGTAAATGCCGCTGATGCACTATGTGGTTTCAAAACTTTCCATGAAGGCTAACTGCTAACAGTATCAGCCGAATTTAGCAATCTGAATAATCTGATTCATACTCTGAAAGCAGATTACAATCTGAATCATCTGATTCTCCATTTTTGAACCTATTGTCATTGAGTTCATTACTACAAACATCCTTAATCAATACTCCTCAACAACAGAATCTCTGTTTCTCTTGCATAAGCCCCTGCTCCTATCCAGAACCCTTCCTTCATCATACTTGCAAACTTTTCCCTGTTGTCAACAAGGGGGTATTTCTGGTTTAGTTGATGACAGTTTGGGTGTAACGCTTCTTAGAAATGTAGAATATGCCAGGATGGCGTTCAAACACCTTTGTGAACGTCTGTGGCAAAGCCAGCCAGGATAGGAGTTTCAAGCCAACATGATCAGGTAGGCGAACCAAAGAAAAACAATCTGAGTGATGGGGAATCAAGGAATGAGGGTAATCAAATGGCAAACCAATGACCCAATTTAGCTCGTCAATTGTATGTAGAGGAAGAGTCCCATCTTTGGTGAGCACGAGCAGCTTGCGAAGATCCATCTCACAATCAAGAACATGAAATTCATCGATTAGGAGTCAAGTGGAACCAAATACCGAGTTCTTCTTGATGGGGATCTAGTGCTTTAGGAGTCAAGTGGAACCAGGGACCACTAGTGCCTCCACTGTCAAGAATATGAAATTCATCAAAATTTGTGGGATATCTCCTCATAAAGGTGGAAACCTTAAGATCTTTGGTGGGAGAGGTGGTAAACTGGGAGACAACAACGAAGATTTGAGGATATTATGGAAACAAGGATGCTGGCAGTTCTTAGATCCCTATCACCTGCCAGAATGGCATCCAATTCCCTATCTTTCACCCCATTTTAACATAAGATTAAATCTAGAAGAGCAAGAGCTGAATGGCTTCCTGCTGGCAATTGAATCCCATATCACATCAATACAGAAAATGAGAGCATCCTGCCCTACTCCACAACCACCAAACCATTTTACATGATGATCAACATACCCCTGTTAGATGAAAAAAATTGGTTTGGAAGTGAGATACCACTTCAATGTACTCCAATATTTAAAGTTAGGAAAGTCAAGATTGCAATGGATATAGCAGGAGAACATTAAGCATGCAGATTATGTTAGGATCCACTTATAAATTATATTCAAATGATCAACCTACAACTTTGCAAAGATTTCCAACTGTATTTAAGGATAAAACAGATCGCATCTATTTTTCTAGAATTTCTTTTCCACTTTATACTAAGTTCCACGGTGCTTGGCTGTGTATCAACCGAACAACAAGTACTCACTGAAGTATGTATGAAATGTGTATATACAACAAACCTTCCACATTGGTCTACAACAGTGCAATAAATTCGTCTTTTTCTGTTTATGATGGATTTTACATCTTCATCATGCAATAAATTTCCTCTACATGAAAATTAAATATATTGCTCTGGACCATAGTGCACTAGTAAAAACTCACAAGAGGGCATAGTAATCAAAATTGCAATCTAGATCACACAATCTTGCAATCCAAAGTATGCTACTATTGATCATTCCAACAGTGCTGCACAATGGGATTACCTAAGAGCAAAGCATAGTGTTTGGGGAGACAGCTACTAATTTCTGTAATTTAATTCACTTGTAAATAATAAGAGTGGCGGTTTCAACATCAAATGCTAATAATTATGATGCTACTGTTGGATCCGATCACTACTATGCTCTGGTGTTAGATGCTTCCCCTATCAACAAGAAGCCTAGCAAAATGCTAAGTCATTATTGTCATGGAAGCTTGGGACAACAAATTTCATGATTCTAATCTATTTTAATTCTCCAAAAAATGTCTAAGAGTTGGAAGCATAAATTGATCAAGTGGGCCAGAAATCAGAGTTGGAACTCCAGACAGAAAATATAGGTAATGGAAGTTCAGCTTTTCTCTTTGAAAGAGGATACAACGCACCAATTGTGATGCTACCAAAATGAAACAACTTGAAAATGAGCTTCATAATTAATGGAGTGAAGAAGAAGTTTATTGGAAGCAAAAATCCAGACTTCAGTTGTTGCAGCTCAGAGACAGAAATTCAAAAAATAAAAAATAAAAATCATGCAACTAGTACAATTAGAAGAAGGAGAAGAATACTCATATGCCACACAAATATTGTTCTAATTCCAAAAAGTAGAATATGCAACTTTTGTTGGCTATTATTGCCTTATTTCTTTGAGTAATGTGTCTTATAAGATCATTTCAAATTATCAATAGGCTCCAATCAGTCCTTATCTCTATTATTAGAGAAGATCAAAGTGCCTTTGTTGCTGGAAGGCAAATAACTAATAGTATCTCTAGTTGCCCATGAACTGCTCCATTTTATGAAGAACAAAAGATTGAGCAAACAAGCTTTTATGGCCCTTAAACTTGATCTCAGAAACTAGGTTTCCCACTGTATGTGTCAGTATGCCTTGAGGTCCAAGGAGTTTAGAGTTTTAGAATCCTCTTTTCCAGGTAGTGCCTTGAGGTCGAAGTGTTTAGACAAGACTAGATTTATGTAAAAGAATGTTTTACCATGAAAGTTGAAACAAAGGAAATATTTACAATCTGTGTTCAGTTAATTTGGGACAATTAGTCATCTTAAAAAGCAAAACTACAAAAAGACCAAGGTGCCTTTTAATGTAGGTCTGATCGATTCATTAACAGCCTCAATATGAAGTATGAACAGTACAGGACGAATCCATACACAAAGAGGGGTTGAGGGGATCCAGACCTGGTTTACTGGAATGCTGAATCCAACAGAATAAACCTGCTTGTACCTTCACTATAGCAGTCATCCATGATAATGGTCATATGTTTAGCCTTTCCCAATGGTCATACCCTTCCAATCTTGAAAGCCGTTCTCAATTCCACCATGTCCTCTTCCAGAAGCTGCCAATTGGACTTTATCTTCTCAGCCCCACATTACTTTTTCTCAGCCACAAGTTTCTGAATTATTTCAGCAAACTCTTCTCTCTCCAAATGATCGCGTCTCCATGCCAACATTACAGAAGTGTCAAGCTAAGTGTATAACAGCCAAATAGCCCTGCATAAAGGAGAGATCAAAGTGTTCGTTAGATGTGAAGATCTTTTCTACGTATAAAATAAGGAAAAAAAGGAAAATCTCATAGAGAATGATTGGACCACATGGCAGGCAACGTTAGCATCCAACCTCTCCCTTATGGCCTTATTATCCCTTGGCAAAGCCAGCCCCTATTCAGTAGGTGAGACTCACTTGATTGATGGTCTTTAAAGCAGAATCATCCACTGTGACCATGCACTTAGGAAGGATGAACCTTGGTGCCAAGGTTAAGCAGAGACCTGTTATCCAGAAATTGTCACAATCTGGATTTTTTTTTTTTTTTTTTTTTTCCTTCAGTAACTACAATTTTCCTAAATTTGAAGGATATTTGGGAGTAGTCTGGGTGTTTCATAAGTATGACAAAAAAAAATAAAAGTTCAGTTAATTCAATAGAAAAGTCAGAGCAATTTAAAATTTCCAACAGCAATCATGGTATGGGAAATTGTACAAACAGGAGATAATAATACTTTCAATACCACTACATCAATTCCAAAATAAAGAAAAATTGAAACTTTCAGCATCAATACTAGATATCTAAACTATATGCTAAAAACTTGTTTTCTTGTTGAAAAGATCACAAAACTTGATCTTTTTCCCCTTGATCTCAACAACAGGAGGAATGCTGCAAAATAATCAAATTCCAGGAAAGGAATAACCTTGCCATGGAAATTGGCCATTATGATGAATCATTTCAATTTGTGCATTTGACATATTAACTAGGTTGAATGCTTCAACAGAAACCAAAAGGACAACAAGAGGGAAAAAAAGATGCACAAACAAGCTTAGGGAAAAAAAAGATGCATAAACACCCACTTGTGCGCGAACACAATTTCTCTCTTAAGTTTAAATATTTTTTCAACAAAAATAAGAGTTGCTTTATCCAAAATACCTTGGTGCAGAGCATGTTCAAAGTCCATTCACTGTGGAGACTGTGCTTGAATATTCTGAATACAATCTAGCACAGCTGCACTCATGTGGGGCCCAAATACTTCTGATACATAATGCCAGAAATGAAAAACTAAATTATTGTAACACATTAAAAAATGAAAACCGTGAAGTCCAAATGGTCATTCCATATATAAGAATCACTATAAATTTAATCCCAGCTTGTTTTCCCAAAGCTCCTTAAGATTATTGGTCCATTTAGATATCCTTCATGGACTCATGGTAACATCTTCCGGTTGATCTATAGATTCAGTTCTTCAACTAAAATGGTTAACTTTATGAGAAAAACCAGATCTGAGATACAATCAAAATCAGATGCAGTACTTCTAAAATAAATCTCTTCTCCTAGTTCTCTCTCCTCCATCAAAACAAGTTGTTTCCTGCTTCCTCATGATGCTAAAGACAATCATCACAAACTCATCTTGTAAAAGATTACTCCCAAATTCTATTAATATTTGGCAGGATAGGATTAGGTTACCAGGGAATACCTTTTCCATTAGTTGTCTCACGTTGCAGCGAAGATTTGAGCTAACTGCTAAAAGCATCTGCTGAATTTAGCAAGGATCATCTATGGTTTCATCTGATTCATATTCTGAAAGAAAATTACAATCTGAATCATCTGATTCTCCTTCATTTTTGAATCCATTGTCACTGAGTTCATTACTACAAACATTCCTAAATCGATCCTCCTCAACAACAGCATCTCTGTTTCTCTTGTATAAGCCCCTGCTCCTATCCAGAAACCCTTCCTTCATCATACTTTCAAACTTTTCCCTGTTGTCAACAAGGGGGTGTCTCTGGATTAGTTGATGACGGTCGTAAGCTTCCCTAAGAACAACAGTTTGGGTGTCACACTTCTTAGAAATGTAGAATATGCCAGGATGGCGTTCAAACACCTTCGTGAACTTCTGTGGCAAGACCAGTGGTTTACGGAGATTGCTCGCATTCTTGCGCTCTGTTTTCTTTTGTATGGTGAGGTGGAGAAGCTCATGAAAGACACCAACAATTCTCTTCTCAGATACATCTGTACGTGGATCTAAGTGAGAGGCATCTGAATAAGGAGAAGTATAAGGGAGCCTCTGCCACTCTTCTAACCACACCATGCATTTTCTCTTCAATCCGAAACCCCTTGTGAATCCAATTGGAAATGCTAAGCTGCCATTTTCAACATCTTTTTCCCTTTGCTGCAAAGCAGCACTCTTTTCCAATTGAGACACAGCAAGGTTAACATCCCAGGATAGGAGTTTCAAGCCAACACGATTATCAGGTAGGTGAATCAAAGAAAATATATCGGGGTGATGGGGAATCAATGAATGAGGGAAATCAAATGGCAAACCAATGTCCCATTTCAGCTGGTCAATCGTTTGTAGAGGAAGAATTCTATCTTTGGTGAGCATGAGCAGCTTGCGGAGCCTGTCAAGAAGATCCATCTCACAATTTTGGTAGATACCGAGTTCTTCTTGATGGAGATCTAGTGCTTTAGGAGTCAAGCGGAACCAGGGAACTCTAGTACCTCCACTGTCACGAACATGAAACTCATCGAAAATAGTGGGATATCTCCTCATAAAAGTGGAAATCTTAAGATCGTGGGGGAGACTGAGTTGCCCTCTTTGGTGGGAGAGGTGGTAAACTGGGAGGCAACAATGAGGATTCGCAGATATTATGGAAACAAGAGTGCTGGCAGCTCTTAGATCCCTATCACCTGCCACAACAGCATCCAATACCCTATCTTTCACCCATTTTAACCTTACATTCACCAGACTGGCTTTCTGCTGGCGATTAAATCCCATCTCACATCCATAGAGCAAACGAGAGCATCCTGTCCTACTCCACAACCACCGAACCATTTTAGATCGACGATGATCAACATAACCCTGTTACATGACGAAAATTGTTCTGGAAGTAAGATACCACTTCAATGTATTCCAATATTTAAAATTCAGGAATGTCAAATAGCAATGTATATAGCAAGGGAGAATTAAGCAAACAAATTATGTTATAAATTGTAATGAAATGATCAACCTACAACTTTTGAAAAATAACCAACTGTACTTTAGAGGATAAAACAAAGCAGATTGCATCTAATGATAAGATCCATTTCTCGAAGCCCTGAAAGACAAAGCTGATGTAGTTTACGTAGTTGCGAAAGAATTTCCTTTTTTAATCGAAGACTTGATGAGTACTTGTTATTCCCCTTCTTCTTCAATTTCTTTTCCACTTAATATTAAGCTCCATGGTGCTTGGCTGTGTATTAACAGAACAACAGTACTCACTGAAGTATTTATAAAATGACAACCTTGCACATTGGTTTACAACAGTCCCATGAATTCATCTTTTTCTGTTATGTTAGATTTAACATCTTTTCACCATGCAATAAATTTTTTTTTTTCACCATGCAATAAATTTCCTCTACATGACATTTAAAAATAGTGCTGTGGGTGCATTAGTAAAACTCACAAGAGGGCATGGTAATCAAAATTGCAATCTAGATCATACAATCTTGAAATCCAAAGTAATAAAAAATCCATGTAGATCTCTACAAGATCGTAAAGGGACCAGAGGGTCATAGTCGGGTTGCCAAAGGATCGTTTAGAATAATAGGATCTACCATGGGATTGTTTAGGATCGTTTATGTAAATAGAAAATTTGATAATTTGTTTGCTTTGTCATGACACCTGAAAATTTTATAAGGTGGAGTATTTGTATGGGATTGGTAAAAAATTATCAGTTGTTATGTCATATGTAATAGGAAATTAGTCAAATGTACAAAAGAGTGAGAAGAATTATCTGAGATTGTGTCATTAAAAAGTGATTTTTGGAATTATAAAACTTAATGAAAATGCAGTGATCTAAACTTTATTCTCCCCAGGAAAAACCTTACAAATTGCATGGCGCTAGTTCAACCTTCCAAGTCACATTATAAAATTTAGTCTACAAAACTTGAGCATGTATACATGTTACACATGTTTGTAATAATATTTGTATACTTGATTTGTTTTAGGTTTGCTTTTGTTCTAATTTAAGAATTCTACATGTATAAATATCGTTTGGTCTTCTTTCCCTAATTTTGTAGAATCTAACATTCCTCAATCTAATCCTACAGTCCAATTCAAAAGACCCACCGCTTAATCCAACAAAGGTTTTAGTCACTGACAACTTCCAATAGGGCATGTATATTTTCATCTAAATTGTATTAAAAAAGTATATTAAATCTTAGAAGCATTGTTAATTATTCTTAATCAAATCAGTCTCCTAACCAGCATAAACATCCTATATGAATTGAGTTTGATTCTTCTTCAGTGAGCCGTCCTATCATAAAGTGAAGGCTAAAACACTGCAAACACACAATACACATAATGCCCGACCACACATGAACAAACCACATACACCCATGACCACAATGAGAACCTTTAACATGTCTATAATTCTAAAACAACATTGTGAATGAACAAGTACAATATATGTCACTTGAATACACATAATGCCTGAACACACATGAACAAACCACATACACCCATGGCCACAATGAGAACCTTTAACAAGTCAATAATTCTAAAACAACATTGTGAATGAACAAGTACAATATATGTCACTTGAATGTGTCGTGAGTTTATGAGTGATGCCGTAGACTTAGCACTGATGTGCTAGAGCAACACCAGGCCAGCTGAAGTGCACACCTATAAAAGATGCATTAACATGAAATTGATAGATTAGAGAGGCCTCATTGAATCCAAGAAGAACTTCGCTATATGAAAGCAAGCCAGCACTTTGAGCTCTAATTTTAATTATTGATGTGCTGATCAAAATTTTCAGATCAACATAAAAAAAGGAACATCAAAAGTAACATGGTAACATGACACGTCAAAACAAGATTTGTATCTTGCTATTCATGCAAAAATGGCAATAAAATGCCATGTAAACCACCTTAGTACATCAAAAGAGTTCATTTTGGTTGTATAGCTTCCCAATCAAGGGGAAAAAAACCAGCTTGCTTAAAAAGTTGAAAATATAGGAAAAACAGCACACGAGCACAGATATTCGGAATGGTCTCCTTTATGTGATCATCTTGTAGGAGTTGTGGCTGCCATGCTAGCCTTGTTTACTATCCACAAAGATTATTAAACTGATATAGATAAAAGCAATCAAATCTGAAAGCAAAAGTCGTAAATTAACTCAATAATACAAACCCAGAGGGTGTATTTCTCAAGCCCATTCGAAAATCAAATTACGAATATCTTTTCAAGGACAAACATTCATTTTGATTATAAACATAAAAACTCAATAATCAACCACATTATAAAGACGTGGTGTAAAGTCAAAATCTCCAATTAGATAGAAAGCTCTAAACATAAAGACAATTGTATAACCCAGAAATGCACCGAGGAGAATCACACAAACGTCTTTTGTTGACATCAGAGACCCACTGAATTAATAAAGGGTGTATCAAAAAGATAAAAGCAAACACATTTGCAAAGGTTGGTTCTTCAACTTCAAGGGAACAGAGTAGAGTTAAAAAAAAAAAAAGGAGACACACATTCAATTTTTGGAGTAAAACCACGTTTCCAAATCATTATGAACAAAACTAAAATTTGTCTAAACAATCACACGATGGAGAACAAAAATTGAGCCCGTAAATGAATAAATGAAACCCACATAAAACAAAACAACAAAAAAAAAAACTTGGAAATCGAGCACGATTTGCTTCTCAGAAACATTTGGAAACATATTTAACTCTCAAAATTGAAGCTGTCAATGTGAATAATCAACCAAAAGAAATAAATAAAAACTTCAACCAAACAAACAAAATCAACAATATAATCGAAATCGACGCCCTGACCTTTCTGCTGTGTCAATCGATGCCTTCGATGGTGAGGGAGGACGGTTCGAAGCCAGAGAGAGAGAGTGAGTGAGAGAGAGAGAGAGGAGCATACTGAGTTGGGCTTTGAAGTTATGTTGGGCTGGGCTTTGAAGTTCGAGGTTTGACCAAACCAGGTTAGGTTAACCATGCTATTCTTTGTCACCAATCAACACCCACCCTTCTCACTGTATCCGCATTGCAGATCAAACCATGTTAAACGCGCCACATCACCCGCATTGCAAATCATACCATGCAAAAAGTGCCACGTCACGCACTTACTAGACCGACATTGTTTTACATTTCAAAATTCACCCTCTTGTAATTGTGTGAATGTAATGTATTGATGAAACCCACTTTACCTATATATATATATATAATGTTATGTTAATGTTTTTACATGTTTCCTCATTAGCAACGGTAGTGTAACAATGAACAATATAATTTTTTTTTGAAAAACTCTTAAATCAACTTTTTAAACTTGTCATTATATTTTTACAACTTGTAATACTTTGTTAAACATGATAAAGTAAAATAAAATAATATTTTATTTAAAAAAGAAAAATACTTTTAAAAAATTATTTTACTTCAAAACAAATAGAACCTAAGAGCATCCGCAGTGGGCTCGCGGAAGGCCCTCTTCGCGAGCCAAACAAACCAAACTCACTCCAGCAGTCTCGCGGAATTGGGCGGGGCCCACAACAACTCGCGGCCCGACTCGCAATATTCCGCGAGCCCGAGCCCGATCGCGGAATTTTTTTTTTTGTCTTTTTCCTTAGCAAAGCCTGAAGCGGTTTTTCGTTTTTTTTTTTAACTTCATGCTGCAACAGTGCCAACAGTGCCTTAAGGCACTGTTTGGCAGCCTAGTTTTTTTTTAAAAACCCAAAATATGTTATTTTGAGCTTATTTTTTAAAAAATAAAATAAAATAAAATTTAGTAAATAAAAAAATATATTGTTTAGACATTGTTTGTCCAAAAAATAAATTATTTGTGCCAAAAATAAATTTAAAAAACCTTTTTTTTTTTGTTTTTTCCCCTTAAAATTTGATTTTTTTTTTAAAAAAATTTGCTTTAAATTTTAAATTACTGCCATAAACAGTGCATTTGACCGTTAAGGCACTGTTTGGCTGACACAAACAGTGCCTTAAAGGTTATAATATTGTAAATTTTTTTAAAAAAATTCAATTTTGTAAAACTTTTTTTTTAAAAAATAATTAAAATTAAAATTTCATTTTCTTATTCCCATAGGATTTTGTAACATTCTAATTCATTATTTTTAATCTTAAAATTTAATTTAATTTAATTTAATTTATTATTTTTTTTTCGAAAAGCGAAAATTCGGAGAGTCTGATGAAGTACATGTTTCTGGAGAGCGAAAACTGCTTACCTGGCTCTTGAAATTGCTGACATGACACTTGAAAAAACTGAAGTGAAATTTTTAGAGAACCAAAATTCAGAGGCCGGTGCAGATGGCCTAATAAATGTCACTAATTATTTTATGAGAATGTTGAAATTTCTGTACGGTGGGACCAACTGTTGGTGATAAATTTGGTTGTAGCATGGGTGCACGTGCTTGTGTCTTAAATGATATCCTTTCAAGACCTCTAAATTTGTACGAAATTACTTTTTAACTATTTGACTCATTAAAGGTGACACAAGAATTATAAACAAACAATATAAACTTTTTTTTTACACCATTTATAAGACCAAACTACCCTTGTATACATATTTTTTTGCGCCAATAGAAATAGAAACTGCAGCTATGATTAATGAATAAAATAAGCTACTGTTGGCAATGACTAGATTTTTTTTTTTTTTTCCTTATGTACCTGGCAATGACTAGTTTGGCTAACAAAAAAATAGCCCTCCGAAAAATTGGTTATATATATTGCACTAACTGAATAGTACAAATTTGCTTCCTGGAAATCAAATGATCTGTACTTAGTTTTTTTTCTTCGACCATAAAAAGCAACCGAATGAGTACAAACTAATTAGGGGTTGTTTTGAAAACCTACACCGAGTATGTTATTGTTGCAGATGGGTTTAGGGTTAAAAATTGGAGATGCAAATCGGCAAGAGATGATGAGAGGAGTGAAGTGAATAACATGAGTGTGTGTGTGTGTGTGTGTGTTGCGCGGGGGGGGGGGGGGGGGGGGGGGGGGGGATTGGAGATGCAAATCGGCAAGAGATGATGAGAGGAGTGAAGTGAATAATATGAGCGTGTGGGGTAAGACATTTGAAATCTTGAAAGGTGCCAATGTAAATTAATGCATTGACTGTCCACTGAGTGACATTGACCCAAACATTAAGGGGTGTCAATGCAATTTACCAAAAAATATATATATTTCTATTATTATAACCAATATTAGTCCAGTAAAAAAAAAAAAAAAATTTATTACTAGTATTAACTCACCCCATTGATCATTCCTGAATCCGCCAAAACAAACAATTCACCTAATGGTATAACTTTTCCATCTTGAAAAAAGCAGAGAAGGAATTCGGGTTCTTGGGTGTTTTTGCTTTACCTAGGGCTGACAAATTACGACATGATACGACAACATGACACAAATTAAAAAAGGTTTGGATTTGGCATAAACGAATTTGGGTCATAAAATGGTCGACACAATTAACCTGGTTACTTAATTGTGTCGAGTTATGGTTAAAGAATTAAATCCGTGCAACCCGTTTATGACCCATTTAACTTAACATGTTATAATCGTGAATATGACCTATGTAATATGTTACATGTTTAAACTCAATTACTATAGATAGTTAAGTTATTTCAACATAAATCTTGTTTATGCCTTATGATTTTTCTTTTTATTTTGAATATTTGGGTTAATTATGACAATTTTTTTATTATTTAGTATTTGATTAAATATTATATGTCTCGTTTTGAGAAACAGGTCATTAAACATGTTAACATGTATTATCTGTTTAATAAATGGGTTAAGTTAGTGTTTAGGATTCATGATACGATTATTAAATGGGTTGGGTTTGAGTTTACCTATTTAGTATAATATCTTTACATCGACACGACCCACAAACACAAATTGCCACCCCTAACTTTACGATTCGAAAAAAAGAAAAAAAAAAAACCTCTTTCACCCCTTCTCAACCCTTTTGCCATTGGTACGTGTTTTATTTTTTATATTTTTGTTTTTGTCGGGTACTATAACAATGAACAGTGCAAAAATTGTATTCGGTAAAAAAATGTTTTATTTTGTAGACTGCGACCAAAAGTCAAAACACCAATTTAACGTTTTTACATGTTTCCTTAGTGTAGTAACTCATAACAACGAACAGTATTTTTTTTTGAAAAACTCTTGTCACACCTTTTAAAAGTAGTTATTATATTTCTAAAACTTACAACCCTTTGTTTACCGAATATGTTTTTGCTTTCAAAATTTTCAATTACAAAACATGCTTTTAATTACTAATTAAAATATTTTATAATAAAATATTTATTTTACTTTAAATTAAAATAAAAATAAAAAAACAAAACTCTTACCAAACATGCCCTAAGTTTTCACTTTGGCAATGTTTTTGCCCTGATTAAAAAGCTAACATGTAATAGGCTTCGTGGACTAAACGGTGCTGCATTCCTAGCACTGGTTGAGGTGCTTGAACCAAACCAAGCACTAGTTCCATGTCAGAATAGTTTGATATATATAATAATATGCTTCGATCCCATGGATTAAAGTCCACAAGAAGACCATGTACCCTAAATTTTTATATACTTTTATATAGGCTACATATTAGAGTTTTTCAAAACGCATATCACTTGGTCGAGAGTTCCAATAGGTCATTTTTAGAATTTTTTTCCTAAATGTCCAATGCATGTGGAATGGGAGGATTGCATATTCGCGATGGTAAATTATGGAATGTTTTAAGAGATTCGACACCACCATTTTAAAAAATATATATAAATAAAAAACTCACTACTTCACTAATTATGGAATGTTTCAAGTTATTAATGCTTGTCTCATTGTAAGTATTTTAAGTTGACACATATTCTTTTAAATTTTTATGTGGACCACTTAAAACATATACAATGTAAAAATACATTGAACTATATCTATGAAAGAATTTCAACAATATAAAGAGATGATTTTTATTTCTTGCACAAATTTTGTTGTTCGGTAAGAATTTTCTTACTTATAACATAGGTATGAAATATGAATGTATCCAACTCATTTGATTTGAAAAAACATAAAAATTCTCAATTTTAACTTTATTTTGAGAAACAAAAAAAGTTAAAAATAATAAAAAAATATATATATAAAATCTAGTTCTTCCTTTCATATAACCTTACTTGCTTCACTTCTTATTGTTGAGATAATTTCAAATACCTCTCATTATTCTTACCAAAAATTGGGATGCATTACCTTTTGATTTAAATTTTGTTTTAACAAAACTATATATATATTTTTGTTTTTTGTTTTTTTTAATGAATGAAACCAAGGGCAAGCCTGAAAGCCCAAACCAAAGGGATTGACTTAGTTGAAAAAAATTTGAACCCGAGTGTATCACCTAGCATTAAGTTTTAGTTTGAATTTCTTTGGGTATAATTAATTTCTAAAAAATCACCCATTTAGATGTATAATTCGAATTTTATCCATTGAATCTTTGTTTTTTTGTATTAATTAATCAATTAAGGCCAAAACCAATGCTTTTGTTAAAGATAAAAGGGGCAAAACGCAATAAATCAAAAGGTCAAAGGGTAAAAAGGGTTAAGCAACATTGTGCTGCTGACAGAAACCGTACACAAGTCCGAATATATACTAAACAAAATAAGTGAGTGGTTGTACCGTGTGAAAGGCACCACCTGCTGATGTAGGCTGGACCAATGGCATCACACCATCTCATCTAGGAGAAGGGATTTGCTCCAGGGTTAACATAATATCATTTGGTGTACTTAGCTGAATCTGTAGTGCCATCCACACTGGATTGTGGTATGCTCTAATTGCTAAATGTCACTCATTATTTTATGGTGATGTTGAAAATTCTAAATCTCACTAATTATTTGATGGGAATGTTGAAATTTTTCTCTGAAGTGGGACCAACTGTTATTTGTTAGTGATAAATTTGGATGCAGC